GCCATAGAGCAACACGGTGCGTACCGTTGCGCAATACACACGCACTTTCAGTGAAAGGGATATATCGCGCCGGTGCCAGAGATGCCGCAGATTAGTAAACGCTAATATAGCTTTGATCACGCGTTGAGAGATCTCCTCACCCACACCGCCAGCCGTTATACAACTCCCAAGGTAGACAATGCTTTCGACTACTTCCAGAGTGCAGGAATGGGTTCCTACCTACCTTCCAACAACACTGCACTTTGAATTGCCAAACGGTTCAACGACTCTTGAATCGTTGGTGCGTTGTCACCCAGTAAGGTAATATCATGGGCGTAATCTAACTCTATGACTCTGTCCCCAGGAAGAAGCTCGACGCCAGCGTTCGCTGCGTTATGTGGGACATCATCTGTGACAAAATTGAAGAGAAACGGAGAGGTAGGGCAACCTTGTCGTACTCCACTGGTGACAGGAAATGAGGTTGAAAATTCACCATAGGTCCTTACCTTCCCTGAGGTCTGGTGATAGAGCGCTTTTAGGAGTGAGACATACTTCTCAGGTACTCCGTACCTCGGCAAACAGTTCCATAGTGCGGGGCGATCGATAGAGTCGAAAGCCGCTCTGATATTTAAAAACACCACCGTGGTTTGTCGTCTGTATACGAACGGTAGTCTTTCGCACATCCTCTCCATCTATAGCTAACAGCTATATGGTCAGTCTGACTCCACGTCTGTGCCGAAGATGGGTTACGCCAGTTGGCGCGGTGGCGCTTAGAGTGTCTGAAGTTCGTGCTAACAAGGAAGAAACCGTGTAGTGAGCATATGCTAAGAAGTCTATCCCCATTATCTGAACGACAGCTATCAAGACCAGGACAGCCACCAAGGTGGGTCTCATCGGGTGACAGATGACCAACGCGTGCATTTAAGTCTCCGGCCAGGATCNTCGTGCTAACAAGGAAGAAACCGTGTAGTGAGCATATGCTAAGAAGTCTATCCCCATTATCTGAACGACAGCTATCAAGACCATGACGGCCGCCAAGGTGGGTGACAAACGACTAACGCGTGCATTTAGGTCTCCGGCCAGAATCACGATATCCGTCTTGGGTGCTTTGAGAAGAAGCTCATGTAGGTTGTGATTGAAGGTGTCCTTGACTGTATCCGGGCTACAGTCTGCGTATGCAGAAACCACGAATAAGCATCGTTCATTCGGTTTCTGCTTTTTGACATTACTTGAGCCTCTGAGTCTCACTGCGAATAGTCGGCTATCTATCGGGATCTAATGCAATAGACGAGCCTCGGCCCTGGCGCTT